GTTTCAACCTCCTGAACCTTTTGATTCCAAATATCCAGAGTTATGGGAAAAGTGGTTTAAGCGATTTGAAAGGTATAGAATTGCATCAGGACTGGACAATGAACCTCAAGTAAAACAAGTAAGCTGCTTGATTTACTGTATGGGGCCTGATTCTGAGGATATATTATCAACAGCACACCTCTCAGAAGATGACAAAGCCTCATATGAATCTGTAACAGAAGCCTTTGACAACATATTTACTGGCAAAAGAAATGTCATATACGAACGAGCAAAGTTTAATTCAAGATCACAACAACCAGATGAATTATTTGATACATTTCTGGCAGACATAAGCTCAATGGCCGAACACTGTTCATTCAAGAACCTTAAAGCAGAACTAATACGTGATAGAATTGTAGTGGGTATAACTGATAAACGTTTATCGGCCCAATTACAAGAAGATTCAAATCTTACATTGGAAGAAGCAGTTCAAAAATGCAAACAAAAAGAGTCCATCAGCAAACAAGCAGCTGAACTAGAAATGATATGCCAAGGAAAACATGCAGAAGTTGACCGAATCAAATCAGACCAAAAACAAAGTGCAAGATTTAACAAAACCCATGATTTAAAGACAGCTAGGAAAGAATGTTGTTGGAACTGTGGAGGTCCAATGCACCCCAGGCACTTATGCCCTGCTAAAGATTTAACATGCCATTACTGCCAAAAAATCGGTCACTTTGCCAAACATTGCAGAAGCAGATTATTAGAGACTAAAACAACGGACAACACGAAGAGACTCAACGAAATAGGACGTTTGGACAAGCCTGACAACACTGAAGCTTCAGTAGCATATTTAGGACCTGTGAATGCTTCATGCTATGACTCCAGTTCTTGGTATGTAGAAATATTTATCAATAACCAGTTAGTTAAAGCGAAACTTGATTCAGGCGCAGAAGTTACAGCCATTCCCTCAAATGTAATTCATGCAAAACTTATGAAATCTGACCGTATACTTAGGAATGCTGATCAGAGGGAACTAGATGTAAGAGGTATGTTTATAGCAGACATAGCTTACGATGGGAAAATGGTAAAAGAAAAGGTGTATGTTGTTGCAGGATTAAATGAACCTTTACTTGGAATTCCTGCGATTAAATCTTTAAATCTCATAACCCTCAGAAAAGCTGATACTGCAGGACTTAACTCAATTACCTTAGACTCTGTATTAACGAGCCACCCTGAGCTTTTCATTGGTCTGGGTAGCATTCCAGGAGAATATAAGATTGAATTGAACGAAAACGCTCAACCGCACTCGGTTCGAGCTCCAAGAAACATATCAATTCCTTTACGTTCAAAAGTGGAGACAGAATTGAACAGAATGTTGGACTTAGGAGTGATAGAAAAAGTAGAGTCTCCAACTGACTGGTGTGCACCAATAGTACCAGTACTCAAGCCCAATGGTAGTCTACGTTTGTGTGTTGATTACACTGAACTTAATAGGAATGTTAAACGGCCAAAGATAATACTACCAGATGTAGAAGAAACACTAGGGCAAATTGGGCGCTCTAAAATATTTTCAAAACTAGATGCCCAGTCAGGGTTTTGGCAGATAAAAATATCACCTGACACAGCTAAACTAACTTCTTTTATTACTCCATTCGGAAGATTTTATTTCAAGAGATTACCCTTTGGCATTACAAGCGCACCAGAGTTTTTCACTACACAGATGTTTAAACTTTTAAATGGTATCGATGGGGTATTATGTCACATGGATGACATACTTATACATGGCCGAACACAAGAGGAGCATGATTACCGGCTCACTCAAGTATTAGATCGCTTAAAAAAAGCAAAGGTTGTACTGAACAAAGAAAAATGTTCTATTTCCCAAACATCTGTGAAGTTTCTTGGAAACCTGATCGACTGTGATGGTATCAAGGTCGATCCTGATCATATACGAGCACTCGAGGAACTTCCCCCTCCTAAAGATATTGCGGGAGTTCGACGATTAATTGGTATGTTGAATCAACTGAACAAGTTCATTCCAAACTTAGCTGATAAAACTGAATCATTCCGTGAGCTTACTAGAAAGAATAGACAATTTTGTTGGACAAGTCAACATCAAGAAGCCCTTTCAGACATTATACAGACCGTCAATGAATCAATATCTTTAACTAAGTATGATGTAAATGCTGAATCTATTGTTATAGCCGATTCATCAGCATATGGATTGGGTGCAATGTTACTTCAGGTTGAAGATAAATCTCCCAAAGTAGTGATGTTTGCTTCAAGGACCTTACAGGACTGTGAAAGACGATATGCCCAGATAGAAAAGGAAGCTCTTGCATGTGCATGGGCCGCAGAAAAGTTTTCTAAGTTTTTAGTTGGAAAAAAATTTAGAATCCTAACAGACCACAAACCATTAGTTTCACTCCTTGGAAGCAAACACCTAGACACAATACCAGCTAGGATTCAGAGATTCAAAATGCGATTGATGAAATTTGACTACTCCATCGAACACATTCCCGGAAAAGAAATGTTTACAGCAGACACATTAAGCCGAGCGCCGATCCCAGATTCTACAGATGAGTTCACAAAAGAGGTAGAGGCACACATTAAGGTAATATCTTTAAACTTTCCAGCAACACAGTCAAGATTGGAACAAATAAAGAATGCCCAGATCCTGTGTGAAGAATGTCAGATGTTGGTGAAATACACAGAAAATGGATGGCCTAAATATAAGAAGGATGTGCCAGAGAGTATGAGAAAGTGGTATACCTTTAAAGACGACCTATCTATAATAGAAGACTTGATATGTTATAAAGAAAGAATTATTATCCCATTTGAACTTAGAAAAGATATCATTAATAAACTGCACGATGGTCATTTCGGGTCTACACGCACAGTCCTCCGAGCGAAACAATCTGTGTTTTGGCCAGGAATTACAACAGAGATAAATAACTTGATTGAAAATTGTGACACTTGTGCTAAACACCAAAACCAAAAGTCAGAAAAAATGATTCAATCAGACACTCCTTACTATCCATGGCAAATAATAGCAGTTGATTACTTTGACTTTGTGAAAGGCAAATACTTGGCTGTTGTGGACTATTATTCACGGTACTTGGAAATGATAAATGTGTCCACAATGACTGTGTAGATGAACTAATCAAGAAGATGAAAGCCTGTTTTGCTCGACATGGGATCCCTGAAATCGTAATTTCTGATTCTGGCTCACAGTTTACAAGCTCAGAATGGAGAGCCTTTGCAGCCGATTTTGGGTTTAAAACTATTTGTTGTAGTCCCTTACACCATCAGGCAAACGGTGAAGCTGAAAGAGCAGTCCAAACGCTTAAAAAGATGCTTACAAAGAACAAAGACCCCACTCTTGCATTACTGGAGTACAGGTCAACACCAGGTCCATCAGGGTACAGCCCTTCGGAATTGTTGATGGGAAGAAGACTAAGAACCCGACTACCGTCATTGACGAAAGATCTCAAGCCTAAAATGGTAGATCACAAGACATTTAGAGAATTGGACAAACTATATAGAGCAACTCAAGCAGATTACTTCAATAAACGGCATGGAGTGAGAGATGAAAAGCAATTCACTATTGGATGCAATGTGTATATTCCTGATAGGAGAGAAGATGGGAAGATAGTTAATAAAGTAGCTCCAAGATCATACACAGTTAAGACAAACGAAGGCATGTTACGTCGCAACGGGGTAATGCTAAGACAACTACAACCCAAAACATCTGATGACCCTGGAACTGAGCCTAATTGTTTTTCCTCATTTGGTAGACAAATAAATCCACCAAGAAGAACGTGTCTTTAAAAAAAGGGAAGAGAAGATGTCATATGTTTGTTGTTCTTTTATATTTATTTAGTTATTATTAAGATCATCTGGAGATTGTTGTTGTTTTGTATTTACAAATAATTCAGTTGGTAACATTTTATTCCTAAGATAAAAATTGTTAATCAATATAAAACTTCTTTATTTGACAAATTTATACAAAGAAGTGTAATTTATTAGAGAAAATATGAGTATGTGTTGTTATGAGAAGTGATTGGCGGTGAATGAATGCAACAATGAATATGGTCATGTGATGGAATTACATTAACTGTTAAAAACAAAGACATTTCAAAATTAACAAATAAAACAAAGACACTTGACTGAACAAAGTATATTAGTTAATTAGCTAAATTAAAGATATTCATTATGTACTGTAATCAATATGAACACATTTGAGATACAAAGAACACATTTTAATACACCTTTATAAATACATAGGCTGCAATAAAAAAAACCTGTATCAGCTGCTTTTGTTTGCTGAAGCTACAAAAAGGTACAGTAGAACCTCTTTAATCTGAACATCCATTAATCCGAATGCCTTATTGCTGTACTCTGTACACAGTACAGTAGTTCTTTATTGTATTGATATACGCACCGCAATTGTTTCTATTGTAATGTACAGTACTGTTTATTCACTATGTTTACTACTTAATTGAATAAAGACTGTATTTAATTTTATAAAGCATTTTTAACTTTTCCTGTAACATTTACGATCCATTTGAGCAACGTTTTAGCTATTGTTATGTGAAAACAACATGTTCTGTAATCTGAACTATTCAATAGTCCGAACTACCCCCGGTCCCAAGATTAAAGAGGTTCTACTGTATTGACAATAACATGGGCACTTTAAAGGGCTGTAGGGCGGAAACTGGATTTTTCCCAGCCTTGTGACCAAGTCCAATTGATTTATCGTGGCCAAATACCCCATAATAAACAACAAAATTAAAAATCCTTGGAGGAAAATAAAAGTTTGTCCCTACACACACTTGTTTTAGATTATAGGATTGGTTTTTATATGTGCACACGGTGTTTGTTCTTTAGATCCATTAACAGTTATAATTATTGGAACAAATATTTCTTTAATCATTTTTGACATTTGTATTTTTCCTAGCTTGATTAAGTGTAGTCCTTTTTTCGCTTAAGACTGATGTATGTTATTATAAACACAGGAGCGTACCAAGCGGATGCTGGCCCAGCTGGGTCTAACTCTAGAGGACAGTGGAGGCGATGTCCAGGCTGTACCAATATCTGCACTCAAGGGCACTAATGTCAACACCCTGGTGGAGGCTATCGTACTTCAGGCTGAGCTCATGGACCTCAAGGCTGACTACCAGGGTCTGGTCGAGGGTACAATTATAGAATCCAAAGTGGATCAAGCAAGAGGGTAAGTGTGTGAGAGGCCGTTAAAAGTTATTCTCTTCTATCACTGTATCTTTTAATTTTGTATACGATAATAGTTTCAAACCATTTATATTCTTATGGTTTCTTCTGGTCGTATAGCTCTATGCTTTTCATGATCTATTCATTTAGGCAACATCTACTTCGCTTACATATAGACATCTAAATATTATAATCTAGTGACAACAGCTTCTTCTGTAACAAAAAACTTAGAATTATTCTGGACTATGAAGACTGTGGTATTTGTTTACACAACATCATATTCAGACAGGTCATTCGTCATTGTTACAATAGTTTATAGTCTCTATACTAATATTATTACTAAAATAAATTTCATATACTGAGCCTTAACATCTACACAGCTTCCATATATTCCTCCAATGAGAAGAAGGCCTTCTCCAAAAGAAAGTTTTTTTAACCTCTTTTTGAATATGGGGAATGAATCAGTGTCCCTAATTGAAGAAGGTAATTTGTTATTTATTTTCGGGCCCATGTACTGAGGAGATAAATGGAATACTTTAAGTCTGTGTTGAACTGGTTTTAAGCTTATATTGTTTTTAAATATAGTGTTATGAGGATGCTCATGTTGATATTCCATGAATGTGTCAAAATCACTTTTAACCATTAAAGCCAGTTTAAAGATAAAAGAACTATACAAAGTAAGCATTTTAAACTGAATGAAAAACTCTTTACTATGAGTAATTCGAGACATTTTGGCTAAGACTCTAACTGTTCTTTTTTGGAGGATAAAACTTTGTTCGGAATGACTAGAAGAACCCCATACAGTAGAACCTCGGTTAACCGAGGTAATTGGGACCGAGGGTACCTCGGATACGGCAAACCTCGGATAACACGGAACGTAACCTAAAAATCGTTACCGGGGCTAAAAATAGCTCAAGATATACTAAAACATGAACAAAAGTTATTAACTGAACTGTTGTTTAGTTTATTAGTACAAGAAATGTTATTAGTACGCAATAAAACGTGAGAGGAAACGGTAACACTCACAATACTAAACACTGTTTTAATATAACACTCAATTTATTGCACAACTGAATACGTATGATATAGGCTACACAATGTACAGAAGTTTAGTTACAGTACAGTATTCCTGTTTACAAAATTAAATCAAAGAAATGAAAATTAATTTACTGTACATTGTACAAAAATAAACAAAGTAAGCTAATCTTTTTTCCCAAAGAAATCAGTTATTGTTTTTTGACTTAGATTAGAGGATCTTAGGCTAGCCGCCCTGTTGCGCCAGCGTCGCAGCCAAACTAAATCGTTTGTTGTTGCGGTTTCTTGTTGTTCAATGTATGCCAGTCACTGAGCTAAAATTATAACTGGAGGTAGCACTGCCATTGCAGAAGTCTGTCAAAAGCGTGTCGCTGATTTTGTTAGGTTGGTATAGCAGCAGGTTTTTTCATCCAATAACATGGCTTCTATAACTAGGTTTGCATAGCAGTGAGTTTTTTCATCCAATAACATGGCTTCATTTTAACTCACACCTCACGCAAACATGGCGGCTGGCGAAACGCATCTTTGACATTCAGTGCTACCTCCAGTTAGAATTATAGCTCAGTGATGCCAGTGCTCCCTCGATCATTCTTAGACCTTCTGTATGTGATATTTTCTCAGTCGCCCCATCAGATTCATCGCTGTAAAAAAAACTTTTGTCGAATCGGGGTGGTGGGGAGAGCGAGTGGCTCAGTCGCGTCTCGGCATTGAAACAGTTCGCATTGGTCCGGCGGCGAGCGGTGTCGGGTTACAACACCTGCAGCTGCTCTGGCGAGCGGTGTCGGGTGACAGTTCCGTATGCATTCGGCAAAGATAAGCGCTAAGCTACGCAAATATTTGGCCGAGGAAACACAACAGTTGCCAACATTTTACTGTACAGTAGTTTTAACGCATTGCAGGCTAGCGTGCGTATTGCGATAAAAGGAGCACCCAAACGCTCATTACTGTACGTAGTTTGTGCGTGTTTCTTTTGCTTTTTAAATAAAAAAAATCGTTCGAGGACGGCCTCGGTTAACCCGGAGTCTCGGTTAAGCGAGGCTCGGTTAACCGAGGTTCTACTGTACCGTTAAACCGTAATTCATGATGGAAGAAAACTAAGCTTGGTATACTGCTAATTGTGTGTCTAAATTTGTAGTATGTCGAATTACCTGAAGAACAAGTAGTACAGTATAGCTGATCTGAGTCTCTTTGATAGATTCTTAATGTATGTTTACCAATTAAGTTGCCAATCTATATCAATTCCCAGGTAATTGACTGAGTTTTGAGAATATATTGATGTTTGGTTCGAATTTATAACAATGTCTCTATTCTCATTAGCAACTGAAAAGTGAATTAGTTGTGTCTTTGACACATTCATAGATAGACCATTTAGTCATTTACTGTGTACCAGTCCCCGAGGAGTTAAACCTCCTTATTAAGTCTTGTTTAAAGTCCGATGTTTATTTCAAAATATATTTGAAAAAGTATATTATATAAAGTATATTTGAAAAGTATGGATTTTTGTAACATTACATAAATCATTTCCATTAAAAATAAACAAGGTCCAAGAATGGAACCTTGAGGAACTCCGTAAGGTCCCCTCTCTGACTCCACACACAAAATAACACAACACACACACACACACACACACACACACACACTGGCTTGTTATATTAGTTTGGCATTTCTGTAATATAATTTTTTGTTTACGGCTTTTTGAATATGAAATGGACCATTTTAATTCCACATTTTTTATTTCAAGTCTACTTAGTTTTTATAGCAATATATCATGATCAACACAGTCAAAAGCCTTGAACAGGTCACACAGCACACCTATTGTGCGCTGCGACCTTTGAAGTATATAACACAACTCAGATAAAATTCCTTCCTTAAGGGACAGATTCACTAGTGTGCAGGGAGGTTGTTCAATAAGTTTAAAAACTCTACTAATAACAAAGAGGGGAATTTTGTCCTAACCTGAAGATTTAGTATTGCTAAGAGTGGTGAAAGTTTTTCTTAGATCATGAACTGAAATTTTTCTAAATTTAAATTGTAAAGCAGAATTTTGCAATCTAATTAAATGTTGACTATTGTTTAGTAGCTGAATGGATTTATCTTTATCTGTCATTTGGTTAGCAATTTGTGAAACATTAATAAAAAAAAATTAAATTTATTTGCTATTGCCAATGGACTACTATATTGGTCTTTTCCATCATTCAATTGGATCTCGGCGGGTGTGTCCGAGTTTTTTTTTCTATTTAATCCAATTTCTTGTTTTACGACTGACCAAGATGCTTTACTTTTTTATTTTATGCAGAAATTTGTATTCCTAAAGTAGCCTAATCCAATTTTTCTTTTTTTGTGTTTTATTTATACAGGGTGAGGCAATGAACGCACCCCAATTTATAAATAGTACAAATACAATACTATTTACCCTATACATATAAATAGCGCATCAAAACACAGCTTATCTTTTGCCATTTTGACTTAACAATGTCATTTTTCCATTTCTTTTCAGTCACTTGAAAACGCCATTGAATACTCATTCTAGCATTTATTCAGGAATCACTTTAGTTTCCTGGACAATCCAAGAAAATCTCTAGAGAAACTTAGAAAAACCTTAAATTTCAAGTAGCTTATAGAGAGGACCACCAAAGAAAGCAAAGAGCCAACGTAAAAGCTTCCAACAGCGAAAGCATCCTGACAATCAAACCTCTTTGGACTTTGAGGTACTGCTACTCACTCTCTTTCAATATTTGCTGGTGTACGAAGGGTTTTGTGGTGCCCACCGATTATTTTATTTGGTTTAAGCTGTTATCCTAAATAATTTTACCCAGTCCCCTATTGTTTTACAATCAGGAACAGCGTCATATTGACCAAATATAGAATGTGGTCCAAACAACCTCTGGATGTTTGCACAAGAATCAATATTTTAAAAAGAGGTTCCTACATCAAAATCTCAGTGTTACAAGCCCCAGGCACAATGTTTACTAAAATGGCAGTTTAATTGATAGTATAAGCACTGCTGTTCATTCATTGTTGCTTTACTTATCATTCTTTATTTTGTAGTTTCATTAAGAAAAATATTATTATGTAACAACAAAAGAAAATTGGGGTGCTCTCACCGCCACACCCTTTACTTGAATTAACTGTTTTTGGAAAAACTTCATTAAATAAATTTAGAAATGTATTAAGAAAGTTGTTGTAGTTTGTATCTACATTTGGTGTGTTAATATCATAGTGTGCATTTTTTAAAGCCATTTCGAAATTTTTAAAATTTTTTCTATAAATGTACGAGTTAGTTCTTTGGTATTGGAGAAGACCTTTTCTCAAATGACAATATTAATACTTTGTGGTCTGATGCACCGATGTCTACAACTAAGCTACTAGTATTCTTAGCTCTGAGGTTAGAAAATAATATATTCTCAATGCAAGTACTAGAATTTTTAGTTGCTCTTGTAGGTATAAAGACATTCGGTACAAATCTAAAACAATCACAAATTTCAAAAACTCTACAGGTACTAGCTTTGTCAGATTACAGATTAATATTTAAGTCAGAAGATATAAAAACATTTTTTGATTTTGCCTCCAATGCCAATTTGTCCAGTAATAATTAAAATAAAATAAAAAATATTTTATCAAATTATCTCCAGGAATTATAGATATTGATATAAAGACCGAATTCTATTCCTTGACTTCTATAAATAACCCATTGAAACAATATGGTTCATTCAGAAATTTCAAGTCATTTCTAATTTTGAAACTTGCGTTTTTGTCCATCATTAAACATGAGCCTCCTCTAGATTGATAAACTCTAGCATAAAAATATGCAATTTTAGAATCATCTAAACTGTTTAATAAATTTATACATTTTGAATTTAGCCAATGTTCATTTAAAAAAGATACCTGAACCTTTCTTTTTTGACTTTCCATGAAGAAAACTAAATCTAAATAATTATTTAAGAAGCCCTGGATATTAAAATGTAACAA